TTCTCGGTTATTTTGTCATTTTTCGCGGAGCGATTTGCGGACAATCCTTCCTGTCTAATATTCAACAATTGACTGACGGAATGACACATTAGGAAGTCAAAACTTTATGAAAATCAGGTTAAAGTGACACACAGTCTGGCTAATTTTATTTAAATAGAACTTCAATCAAGTAAGTGCGGCAACGATGAGCGGCGAATATTACTGCTTACCAAACGCTGTATTTCACCAACGGCATACTTGGGAGCTTTAATTCCCTAAGCCTTCTTAACAAAAATGCACTTTAGTTTTTCAGTTCAAGTAGTTTCCAGTTTACAAACACATGAATGAATATAAATTAAATTCAAAATTTATTAAAATATAAAAAAATTTGGAATGATAAATAGAGACAACAAATGACTGAAACCCAGGAATGAATTTGATTTATATAGACAAAGCCGGAATTTTTTGCGTTTAATTTCCTAATTGCAAAATCTGAAAAATTCATGACCCATTGGCCGGGATTATTTCCGGACCGGAATTGGGCCATTATAATGAAACAGTTTGCGCAAAACCATGAATTTATGTTGGGAAGGGGCATAAAAAAGTCGCTTTCTTTAATCCTATTAACTTCGTGCTTGAGTTCTGGCAAATAAGCAATTTTTCCGCTTTTGTGTAAGCCGTTATGGCGGCCAGACGAAAAGGCCCAGGCCCGAGTGTTCGCTTTTATGGCATACTGCCAGCGAGGTAAAAAAAGATTTCTTCCCAGTCCTTCCCTAACTATAAAATCTACGAAAATTTCCTCCTATATAGACACTTAACTTCAGTTTTCATTCAGCAGTCTGAGGCTCGAAACTGCAAGAGTATTCGCTCGATTCTGGATGTGTCGTCTTTTGAATGGTTTTATTGGAAAAATTGGAAAATTTCATGTTTTCCGCCCCGTTTTTACTCATTTCCCGGAGGCAAAATGAGCAAGAATTTACAATTAAAATATGTTGCACAAAAACTATAATTTACAAAGCATTAAAATATCCATTAGTTCTTAAGGAAAAACACCATTTGGTAGAGCAAAACATTGGGAAAATTTGAGAAACTTACCCCAATAATTGGGCACATTTGATTATTTTCCTTAAGAACTAATGGATATTTTAATAGTTCATCAAAACATGAGTCTTACATAGGAACAAATTCACAGCGAGTTTCATTAAAATGCATCCATGCGACATTTCAACATCATTGAATCATCTTTTGAAGAACTTTAACATT